TTTTAAGTTTTTTTTTTCAGATTGCCAAACCCACGTTAAAGAAATACCCAAACTATTCTAAGAGCTATTCTGACATGAAAGTCTCTATTATTTAAATAACTGTTTCACATGATCATTACCAAGAATTTCATTTTATTAGAACATAAACTTAAATGCTAATATGACTGTTTTTTATGTTGTTTGAGGAAAAATAAATATTAAAATGTTCTAGATTACTTACGTGTTTTTGAAGTGCGTGAGCTTTTATTTTAAATATATTTAAATTATTTTCCATTAACTTGCCCTGAATATCAATATATTGAGTGTTCTAGTTGCTGTATATATCTAGACCTTTACTAATTCAAGCTTTTCTTCCCTGTGATTATAATTAGTTGTCAAATGTTCCTAAACATTGATACACCAAACAGTGATGTTTTTACCATGTTACATAGCTCTATAGGAGCTTACCATTCTTAGATATTGAAATTGGGCTTTAATATAGAGCATTATAAGACCATATACTGAATGTCTAGGTGCTGTTATTCTTGTCTGCTTAGATACCAGTGAATTTGAATAATAAAAATAGCCAAGGAAATGCTTACTATGTGTCAGGCACTGTTCTAAGCCCTTTTCTAGGTTACAATAAATCTAGGAGGTAGATGCTATCATTAGTCCCAGATATCAGATGAGGAAACAGACACAAAATGTTTAAGTGGTTTGCCCGAAGGCAAACACAGCTACTAAATGGTGGAGCCTGAAGGTAACCCCAAAGAGTCTAACTGCAGAGCCCATGCTCCTGTCCACTCACTAAATGGAATGAGCAAAAGACCACTTACAACAAGTAAAGTCCAAGTCTTTACCAAGCAGCATCAAATGAGCAGAGCTGCAGTGCGATATGGGCCTAAGTCTGCTCTAAGAAAATGGTCCCCTGAGTTGTAAAAGTGTAAGCATCTCTTGGATGTATGTTATACTCTGATATGGTTATTTTTTATTTTTTTATTTTTTTTGAGGTCTTGTTAGGGTTAGGCCTGAGGCCTGTAAATAAGAGGCGAAGTTTTGCCTGTCTGGTGAAGCCATTCCTCCTGAGAGTCACCAAGTCCTCATAGAGAAAACTGAACTGAGAGGGGTTAAACATCTTGGGGGTACTCTTGGGTCATGGTTGTGAGTTCTTCCATCTACCATGTAGGCCAGGAAGGGAAGGCCCAGAGAAGATCTCTTTTTGCTAGTGTCCTACATAACTTGGATGGGCCAGTGAGACCCAGCACTGTTACAGTCTAGATCTTTAAGAGCCCCATTGCTCTTTGTGTTTATTTTCCTTTCAATATCCCCAAGCTTTCAGTTGAGTCTTGTTTGAATGGTGGAGTCCCTGAGTGGTGCAAATGGTTACAAACTCAACTACTAACCAAAAGGTTGGTGGTTTGAATCCATACGGCACCTGATGAAAGACCTGGTGATCTACTTGCAAAAGATCACAGCCATTGAAAACCCTATGGAACTCAGTTCTATTCTGAAATACATGGGGTTGCCACGAGTTGGAATCAACTCAATGGCAACTGGTTTTTTGGCAACTGGTTTTTGTTCTTATGGTCCATTCTGTCTCAGCTGTGGGAAGCCTGGGCCAGAGTATTTAAAGTGAGAGGAATTTTCACATGAGATCAGAGTAAAACTGGTGATGGTAATCTTCAAGGAACCCCAAAGGGAGGGTGAGTCTTGGAGAGAAATGGAGGCTGCGTGGCTCAGCTGATCCTCCCCATTATGAGTGTTTTTTTCTAATGCCAACCTTGAAAGTCTAGGTTTCATTTTAGTAAAGAAGGTAACATGTTTCCACATTGATAAGATTTGGTTACAGCTCTTTATTCCTTCCACTAGTGATTACACAAGTAATCCAAAACGAGTTTAGACTTGATTTAGTTTTTTTAATCCCAAACTTCCAAACAGCAATTATATGTAGTCCAAGATAATTCTAAAATGTGTTTGCATTTCCTGTGCACGTTTCCTGTGCTCACTTCCCCTTAGGGTCTTCTGCTTCCAACACTCCTTGTCTCCATACCTCTGCATATTTCATTCTTTCTTGTCATTCTGATCTCAGTTCAAATATCACCTCCTCAGTAAGGCCTTCCCTTGCACCAAATCTAAGTTATCACCACCCTCCCTCCAAAATCACATTACCCTGTTTATTTTCTTTAGAATGCTATCTTTATCTGAAATCATCTTAATTGTGTATTTATTTATTCTCTGTTCTTATTAGCTTTGTCCTGCACTGGAATCTAACTTCCATAGGAACAAGAACCTTGTTTGCCTCACAGATACAGTCGTCTCTAGAACTGTTCTTGGAAGACACAGAATAGATAATAAATATATGTTAAATTAATAAATATTAGTTTAAGGCAGATAAGGGAAGTCAGAATCATGTTGTACAGCGGGACTTGCTGTAGGCTTAACACATCTGGGCTGTGACCTCAGAGCCTAGTTAATCAGTGGATAACTCAACCCACATTGCATGCGCACACACACACACACACACACACACACACACACACACACACAAACCCCACAGTCTCCACACCCACTGTCACCAAAAGTGGAACTGTCTCTCCCATTTCTTGTGAGTGTGTGCACATGCATGCTGACATGAATGTTTTGGGGTGGAAGGTGGAGGCAGAAGGGATAACCACATGATTCTTCCCATGGAGAGCTCTGAGTTCACCTTTGTAATGAGTTGAAGAAAATTCGGGGCTGATAAAGGAAACCACAAGATAGTGTTATACTGTCTTGGGGCCAACACATTGACAGATGAGACATTGACAGCCACATGCAGGGGACAGTCCCCACAGCAGGAGGTCTTCAAGGCAAGCAGCAGGAAGAGGGCATAAAAAACGCTGGGCAAGAGGAGAAGCATTGGGGGAAAGCTTACCTGTCCCTAGGTGATGCCCCCTGCAGCAAGGTGGAGTGTCTCTGGGTCAAAGAATTCCAAAGGCAGCAACACCTTAGGGTCCTTATAACTACAGAATTCATCTCTGGGGCTAGCAAATGTTGGGTGCAGTTTCACAGGGTTTGTAAAGTAGACAGGCTGTATGTGGCTAAAAATCTGCTTATTTGGGTTATTTTTTTAAAACAGTTGGATGTGCACACATTTGACTTTGGTGCCAGTGGCCTCTTTTGGACTAATGGGCCTCAGCTTGCTATGAAAAAGTAAACAACTGGGGACCAAAACACAGAGGCCATTTTTGATTCATTTATATTCAAGTTTCTCCTTGGACTGGCTGACAAGATAGGCAGCCCCTAGTCCAAATTCAGCCCATAAATTTATTTTATTTGGCACATACCATGTTTAAAAAAAAAAAAAAAGCCAACTTAGTTATCTAAACCAAAACCAAACCTGTTGCCATCAAGTCAATTCCAACTCATAGCGACTCTATAGGACGGAGTAGAACTGTCCCATAGTAGAACCGTTTCCAAGGAGTGGCTGGTTGATTCTAACTGCCAACCTTCTCATTAGCAGCCTAAGCTCTTAACTGCTGTGCTACCAGGGTCCCATCTTATTTATCTAGTGCCGCTAAAACAGAAATACCACAAGTGGGTGGCTTTAACAAACAGAAATTTATTTTCTCACACTTTAGGAGGTTAGAAGTCTGAAATCAGGAGACTGGCTCTAAGGGAAGGCTTTCTATCTCTGTTGGCTCTGGAAGAAGGTCTTTGTCTCTTCAGCTTCTGTTCCTTGGCTCCTTGGTGATCTTCATGTGGCATGGCATCCATCTTCCCCCATCTTTACTTGCTTCCTCTGTCCATATCTGTTCTTTTATATCTCAGAAAGTGATTGGTTTAAGACACATCATACCCTGCACTAATACTGCCTCATTAACATAACAAAGAAAATCTGTTCCCAAATGGGATTATAACCACAGGTATAAGGGTTAGGATTTACAACACATCTAGATTTACAAATCTAGATTTCCAGGTTATTTTTTGACAAATAGGAAGATCAGGCACACTGAACCTGCCTTCCCACATGGCATAGTTGGCTGGAGCAGAGTTGTAAGTATGTCCTTGGATAGGTACACTCTCCAGTCTCCCACAATCCGCATCACCTGTTTTATTTAACTGGCAACCCCCTTTCCCCTTATGTCACCTACATAGTCTTTGTAGTATTTGAGTTGGCAGTCTACGGCATAATAGTTAATCTGCAGTGTAAATAATCTAGAAATATATCATCAATAATTGTTTTCATGTTGCTAGAGCTTGTGGTTAGATTACTTATCTATATAGAAACCTTGTAGGGCTCCCCATTGCTTGCTAAATAAGGTCCACATTCCTAACCTGACAGCAGTCTGGCCCCTACTTTATATTCAGTCATTCTCTTATAAAGGCAATGGAGTTAACATCATACGGGCTTTTAATTCGTAGGAACTCAGCCCTATAGGTGTGGGAGAGACAGAAAGAGAAACAGACAAAAAACTCAGAGACAGACAGGCAGACAGAAATAGAACAATTTGAATAGTGTAGGCCATTTCATCCTCCCATTCTACTCACTGAACTGCAGTTAGTCTTGAAGCAATGAACATGTAGACAAAAGTTATGTAAAACAAAAAATGTGCAAGTGATCATGGTCCCCTCACGTTAACAATGATGTGAATGAAATGCATTGTTCAGATGCTCAGGCTATTGGGCTTTGTGGACATCCTTGAGGGAAAAACAAAAGAATAATTGCAGGCCAAAGAAAATGTTGACTTACAAAGAGAGGAACAGATAAAATTTATCTGCAATTTGTATTGTGTAAACAAAACTGTGTGCTTACTGTACTTGATTATACTATTTACCAATGAATAGCGCCTTCTCACCAACTTCTTCTCATATTTAGATCATAAAGTATATTTAAAAATAGGATATCAACCTATATCTTAATTTAATAACTTGGAATTTAAAATAAACCTTTATTTTAAAGGAGTAAAACAGATTATTTATTTTAAATTTTTCAAAGTTAACTCACCCTGGCAATCCTAAATTAACTTTTATTCTTTCAGGAACATCCAGTACTTGGGCAACCCTTTTTTGTACTTCATCCCTGCAAGACGAATGAATTCATGACTCCTGTATTAAAGAATTCCCGAAAAATCAATAGGTGAGAAACACCATCAAGACACATTGGTTTATATTCTTATTTTAAAAGTGTAAATCTTTTTATGTGACTATAAAAGCCAAACTAAAAAGAAATATTTTTGTAATAATAATAATGGCTGACATTTATTGATTTCTACCATGTGCTAGGCATTGCTCTAAGTTTTTGGATATATTGACTCATCTGATTTTTCTAGCAACCCTATGAGCTTGGTACCATTATTTTACTTAGTTTACAGATGAAGAAGCTAAAGCACAGAGGGCTAAATGACTTGGCGAAGGTCACACAGCTAGCTAAGTGGTGGATCTGGGATGTGAACTCTGGCATTCTTGTTCCAGAGCCATGGTCTTAACCACTGCACTCTGCTACTTTAGTAAATGCTATAAATTTTAAGTGTAAAATTTGAATAATCAAAAGGGAGTCAGGAGCCCAAATACTTTGCCTCACTTTCCTTAGTGAGGGATTCTCATAGTCTCTCTGGACCTCAAATCCTCGCCAAGCAATGGGACTGGCATTCGGAAATGCTGTGGTTTCAAGTGGTAGGCACATATCTTTGAATAAAGCCTCATTTGTATTACTGTTGATGAGTGACTGATTTTCTACCATTCATCAAAACTACAATGGACACGTTGATAGCGCCTGTATTTTCACTTGTTTCCTAGGAACGTCAACTACATCACATCATGGCTGAGCATTGTAGGGCCAGTTGTTGGGCTGAATCTACCTCTGAGTTATGCTAACGCCACCTCTCAGGATGAAAGAAATGTTGATTGACAAGGTAAAAAGGAAAGCCTGGATTGAATGCTTTGCTGTTAAACAATGATCCTGGTGTCTTTGGTGCGCTTAGACATGTCGCTGCTGGCCCTACCATATATTAAGTTTGTTTTCATCTTTAAGAGGCTGAACTTTGATGTGTTTTTTAGTTTTTCAACTAGTGCCCTACCCAGTCACTTAGGAAGCATTTTACTTTGTTCTAAGTAATGCTTGCCCAACTACAGAAATGGTTTTATTTTAATATTGATGTTCTTGAAATAAGTCTTTATTACTCAGTTAACTATTTTTATTCTCTTGGCTTTTATTTTCTTCAGATTGTTATATTGAGCCCAGGGTGCTTAGAAATTGTAGCATGAAGTATGCCTAGAGTTTACCTGGCCAGCACTGGTTTTAATAGACCCAATACTGTACAATATCGTATCTTGTTAAGATTTTAACATGGATTTTTTCCCCCTTAGGAGCAAATGTCTGATAGCAGCTGAGATACTGAATGCTTCCAAGAAACACCTCAAAGACACAAATCACTATAAGTAGCAAAAATGAATCTCACTCAGTAATACCAGAAATACTGACATTATTAGAGCAAAACACTTCACATCCCTTCTTCTGATATGGGGATTGATTGAGAAATGGATTTGTATGTTCATTTTATTGTAATATAAAAGAAAAGTAAAATACAATATTTATATGTTCCTAAAAACTAATGTCTTAATCATGGACTGTCTTATTCTCCTGCAGTCAACCATAAGAACGATAGATGGTAGCATTATTTCTTTTTCACTCCAAAAGGGATAGGGTGTGTTTGTGTGTATATTTAGACATAGAGTAAATAAGAAAACATAATATTTTATTATAAGTGAGATAATGAGTTTTTACAAGCAAAATATGGCATATTAATTAGAAGTTTAAAAAATCTGTAGGAAATATTTAAAATCTTTCCCTATAATTTTGTCCCTTTAGTTGTCGAACCCACAACCACTCTGCTCTACTATTTTAGTGACTAGAGCAAGTCTTCCTGTTTCTGAGACTTATTTTCTTCATCTTTAACATGAGAATAGCAAGTACCTCGTAGGGTTGTTTTGAGACTCATCAAATCAAACCCGTTGCTGCTGAGTCGATTCCGACCCCGAGCCGATTCCAACTCATAGCGACCCTATAGAACAGAGTGGAACTGCCCTACGGGGTTTCCAGTGCTGTAATCTTTATGCAAGCAGACTGCTACATCTTTCTCCCATGGAGCAGCTGTTGGGTTCAGACCTTTAGTTTAGCAGCCAAGTGCTTAACCTCTGCACCACCGGGGCTTCTTGTGAGACTCATATGAGATCATTAATGCATGAGAAAATATCATGAAGTATTGTACAAATTTTCATTAAATGCTCAACTTTCTTATATTCAATATTCATTCAGTCAGTCTGTAAATAAGTTGCAAATGGTTTGGACTCAACTGCTAACCTAAAGTTTGGTGGTTTGAACCCACCCAGCAGCTCTGCAAAAGAAAAAGGCCTGGCAATCTGCATTCATTAAGATCACAGACAAGAAAATCCTATGGAGTAGTTCTACTCTGCACACGTGAGGTTGCCATGGGTTGGAATTGACTTGACACTAAATTAACAACAACAAGTTATTAAGATGAACCTAATCTGGAAGAATTTTCAGTTTTGGATTGCTTTGTTTTTCATTTTAATTTGCTAGGGGCTTGAACTTAAGAGAAAAATTTAATTGGCTCTTTAGAGAATCTAGATAAGTGTCTTTCAGTGAGGAATGTATGTTAGAATCACCTGAGAAGCTTTTACAACTACACATGCAGGGGGCTTAGGCTTGACCTTCTGAAACGGTTTTTGGGGTGATTCTGAAGCACGTGCTCCCTGGAAAACCGCAGGTCTGGATGTGACTTTATTGTTGCATTTATTTGTATCGTTTAGTTGGTTTTTTGTTTTTTTCCTTCTTGTATTGTTTTGGTCTACCAACTTTTCCAGTTCTATGTATAGCTACAGCAAGCTGAACTTACTTTTTAACATTTGTCTGGGCATTACCCCATGACTCTTGGATATTAAGGAAGTTCAGGGCATTTGTTTACAAGGTGACCCACTTGTGCAAAACCAGTTATGTGAAGGTGATTATCGGCTGGTGAATCCAAAGGACTACGACAGCACCTCCAGCCCACAGTTGTAGATTAAGGGCTGAGCTTCCACAAAGGGAATGAAGGTATAGGAAAGTGTTAATTCAAACTGCTAGAAAAGCTATAAGTAAATTTTAAAATGCTGAGCTGCACATATTCTTGCTAGGATGAGAGCCAGCTTATATGCTTGTTGGGCATTTTGGTATTTACCACTTAACATCTTTTCAACTTCTGCAAGGTGTTTCTCCCCCCCACCCTCCCTAATGTAAACACAAATTTCTCAGCAAGTCATTTCTCAAACCATGTCATTTCTGGTGTAAAAAGAAAAAAAAAAGTCATAATAATGTGTCATCTGGATGATGTACGTCTCTGAAAATATTATTTATCTTTTGCCAACAGATTCTGAGGTGATAGTCTGTCACTTTGGGGTAATGCTCATTTTTTTTTAAAAAAATCTAAAATTTTGAGAAGCTAGTTTGTTCTGTAAACCTTCATCTAAAGTACAGTAATTTAAAAAAAAATCAAATTTTGTTGTTCTCTGATTGATGACGACTTAAAAATTCCATCAGTGGCAGAAAAAGTTCTGAAGACTTGCTGCAGATTTTGGAGACCTCCCTTTCTAGATAGAACCATCTTAGGCAACTATATTTCTTTTCAAAACTTTTTTTCACTTAAAAAGAACTTTTAACTTTTGATTAAGAAAAATGTACATTTTAAAAGACGTAATTATGCTGATAGACTATTATCCCAACAGTTATGAAACATTAAAAATGAAAAATATTCTGTTTTGTCAAAGTAATGGTTCTTTTTTTGCAATATGAGGATTTTTCCTCCTAGCTTCTTCCCAGAAATCAACCTGGTTAAAACTGCTACAAGCCGGTCTCCTAGAACTCCACTTTTGTGTGTCCTTGGAGAAACTGCTTCACCTCTTTGGTCTTCAGTTTCCTCATTTGTAAAATGGGGAAGTTCAGCTACATGACTTTTGAGACCCATTCGAGTTCTTGGGTCTGTGCAATAGGGAGAAGTCTAGACATCTAGACTGAGTTTATTTAACTGGATTCTGGTAGGACTTGACCTCTTGCTAGCTTTAGCCAATTTTCTTAATCTTTTTTAGTCCTTTACCATTTCTGTGGAATAAAGCCAACAATATCTCTTCTACTTACCTAACAAGGGCATAGAAAATATCAAAATGATACGTAAATCTGACTATGCTTCATAACGAACACAACACTGTGTGGAGTAAGGGGCAATTACGGATAGCTGAAGCTGGCCACTCCTGACTGGCTTTGGAGTTCCTCTGAAATGCGGACTCCAGCATACCTGCTTATCCCACCTCATTTTGTGCCTGATTCCACAATGCAAAATGGAATCCCTGATTAGGAGAGTCTTCTATGTCCACATCCTTATCTGACCATCGCTCATGCTGGTTCCCTCCTGGAAATACTTCCTTCCCCTCCCAAAACCCACCAAACCCATTGCCATGGAGTCAGTTCTGGCTCATAGTGACCCTATAGGACAAAGTAGAGCTGCCCTCTAGGGTTTTCAAGGCTGTAAATCTTTATGGAAGCAGACTGCCACTTTCTCCAGCAGAACAGCTACTGGGTTTGAACCACCAATCTTTCAGTTAGCAGCCAAGCACTTAACTGTTACGCCACCAGGACTCTTTTCCTTCCCCTTACAAACTACCCAGTTCTCACCTATTCTCTATGATTCACTCTTTCACCAAGCCATCTCTTTCCGAGTACCACAGCCCCCAATGATTGATCTCTCCCTTCGTTACTCATTGTACTTAGTCATTATTAGCATTTAATTTTATCTCTTTCAGTTTCTACCCCTTGTTTATGATCAATAGTGAGTGATTTAAGGTGATGACCCACTATTTTTTTATGTTCTCTGGTGGTGTGCACACAAGAGCTGCTGTTTGCCCCTTGTGAGTGGATCCAGGTCTGTGGACTGGAGAGGATGGGCCAGTTCTTGGAGGCACCAGGGAAGGAGCAGAGGCTGTGTTGATCAGTGGATACTAACTCACAAGCTTGAGGTTAAAAAACAAAACTTAACCTCCCCACCACTACAAGAGCTTATTAAAATTGAGGGGAAAAAAGAAACGGAACCTGAGTTTTCACATCCATTCCTGCCATGATAGGTATAAGCATTTTTATTCATAGTTTCAAGATATTAGGAAATGGACTTCTGCTTGGTCAAAACCAGAGTTCTTACATAATTCAGAGCTGATAGTGTGATTTCTTTTTTTTTTTAGGATTAAAATTTTGAGGGTAAGAATATGCAGATATTCACTTCAGCAAATATGTATTGAGTTCCTCTTATGTGCTGAGCTCTAAGCTAGGTGCTGGGATACCAAATTGAAAGACATGACTGGCTCATAAGAATGCCAAGTCTTGTGGCGCAGACAGACAAAGAGGAGATTCCAAACAGTAGGATGAACGCTGGGGCAGAGGAATGGAAAGCATGCACCAAAGAAGGCTTCACAGAGGAGGAATGTGAGTGCAGTCTTGAAAATTTTAGGATTAAGCCAGGCCAAGAATGGGAGAAAGACCTTGACGGTGCATAATGGTGAAGAATGAGGCTGACTAGCAAGACTGGGCCAGGTCTGGAAAAGCTGTTACTGCCACACTGAGAGTTGGATTTGGCTCCAAAACCACAAAGAGCAGCTGAGGGGATTCAAATAGAGTAAAGTGATCACATTTGCGTTTTAGAAAGAACCTGTATATTTAAAATGACGACTGCATATAAGTAACTACACGTATACTTTGTCGTGTTCTTTTTTCACCACCACATACTGGCCACAGGCTTTAGAAGAAAGAAGAGTGCAGAAGTGGGTGGAGTGTGCCAAGGACACTTTATGATTTTTGCCTGGTGTTTGCGATTGAATTGCGTCCCCCAAATATGTCCGTTGAAAATCCTTATCCTTATACTTTTGGATGTAATCTCATTTGGGAATATGGTTTTCTTTATTTTGTTAATGAGGGCATATCAGTGTAGGGTATGTCTTAAGCCAATCACTTTTGAGAGATAAAATGAACAGATTAGGCACAGAGAGGCCAGCAGAGATGGGAGAAGATAGATGCCAGGCAGCATGAAGATGTCCAAGGACCTGAGGAACAGAAGCTGAAAAGAGACAAGGACCTTCCCCCAGAGGCAACAGAGAAAACGCCTTCCCCTAGAACTGGTGCCCTGAACTTGGACTTCTAGCGTCCTAAACTGTGAGAAATTGAATTTCTATTTGTTAAAGCCACCCACTTGTGGTATTTCTGTTATAATAGCACTAGATGACTGAGACACCAATCATAGGGCCTTCCAAAACAAAAAACTGCCAGTGTCCTGAAAGGCTTTTAGTCCTGGCTTACTGTGTTACCTAGTACAAGTCACTGCACCTCTCTGAGCCTGTTTCCTGATGTATTAGTGGAAGGAATTATATTAGATCAACTGGATAAATTTTTTGGTTTTTAACCAGTATTTTAAAAAATGAAATAGAAAAATATAAAAATGCATTGCATATAGTAGGGGTATTGTTGGTTTGTGAACTTTGGTTTCAACTATGTGTACGTCCATCTGTATCTGTGAATGTGTGTGTGCATGTGTGTCCTGGGTCATGTTGTAGAACGTGTTTCTAACTCCAGAGGGAAAAATCAAAGATTTGAAAACTAATAGACAAATAAGCTCCCTTCCAATTCTAAGACCCTCTGATTTCCTCCTTGTGCTGGCTGACCAGTAAGTTGCTAAAGGCCGTTCTAGGAGCATATAGAAAGTACTTAACGATTATTGTGCCCATGGCCCTGGGCTATTTTAATGTGTACATAGGTCTCCTCAGCCACTCAATGGGCATTTTATAGGGTTTGTCTATAAAAGTGCTTTCACATTTCTATTTTTACATTTGTTAGTGTTTTTTCAAGTAGTTCTATAATGTAAAGTCCTTGCTTTCATTTAATTTTTGTGTTGTCAATAGCAACACCTAGTGGTAAAAGAGCCCTGTTGCAAGTATTCTGAAGTCTAGATTAGAGCTGGAAGTGATAGAGATCACCAAGTCCTATTTTGCAAATTATTGAAAAGAAAAAGAAAAAAACTGAAAACTCACTTGTTCCTACATCCAAATCAAGTATAACCCAATGCCATCAAGTTGATTCTGACTCATAGTGACCCTGTAGGACAGAGTAGAACTGCCCCATAGCGTTTCCAAGGAGCGGCTGGTCAATTTGAACCGTTGACCTTTTGGTTAGCCGCTAGGCTCTTAACCACTGTGCCACCAGGGCTCCAAATCAAATATACGTAAGAGTAAATAAAGCCTATGACTGCATGATGATTTCTTGGATTATTTTGATGTTTTCCAAATACCGAGAAGTTACTGTTAGTTAAAATTAACAAAGGATATCCTGACAAAGTCTATGGGTGGCATAAATGGTTAAGCACTTGGCTACTCACTGG